ACATTTTGTTATCAATGCCTTTACAAAGTGAAACTACTGTACACAAGTATATGATGCCAAGCCAAAGTCGTAGTTGAACATTTGAAGTATTTATTTTGTTGTGAAACAAACACTAGTTCTTTTGGTTTTCAGAATGAAATAATTCATTGATGTAACTTGATCATTGAGCGAAACTGGAAACTGATGAAAGAAAAGCTGTTAAGATATATGTGTGTAAATTCTTCAGGAAAAAGCTTTTTTTTAAAAAGCATTTTTTTCTTCACTGACTAACAAGAAAAGAATGGTTTCCTACTTCAACTTTCAAGCATAACATAGACCCTAATTAGCCTCTTTTTTTGCCTACACACAGTATCGTAAAGAACAGAAATTGAGGTTTGTACTAAATAGTGGTGTCAAGAAACAGCCCCCTCTATTGCTGAGCTGTTAAAGTGCAATTGTTGCATGGGTGTATACATGTACACCCAGTCTTGTACCACACACCTGTTGAGCAACAGTTACTATTGGGAGCGTTTGATCCATAAGTATTTCCCTAACAATAGAAAACTTCCCTATAACTTGGAGCCCACAAGGGCACAAATACACACTGTGTACACGCATTTATGCTGGACTTTTGCATTTAGCGGGGGGACAATTTTTTATGGACACAGAAATGAATCAGACCACAATGTTCTCCACGTTCAAATAACCTGCTGCATTTGGTCGGGCAACGCATTATCCACAGAGGCACAAATATTTACACGCCTGGGTTATGGCTGTAGTATGCAGGAAATAAATTGACTGTTCAGCCACTCACAGGATGTCTCAATAATTTTTGCTGCGTACGAAAAAGCCGTAGGGTTAGTACATGTCGACTATAATACTGTGTAAGCAGAACATACTATTGCATTCAGCAATATTTAATAACCAAGGCCCTCTTATGATTCCTATTAGGAATCATAACCATACTATTTTTTTTTCGCATATGCTATGGCCATAACCAACATGATTCACCATGCATGAACGCTTAAATTTGATAGGCGCATAAGGGAACGAAAATCTACTTTTAAACTTTGGGACTCACCTACCGGACCGGTACATGTAAGTAGATGGCGTTGACACCATGGTGTATATCTGCAGGATTAATTTTGTGGAAAGAGGGCAGGGTTTTGATTTTTGAGGGAAACTATGGGGTAAAAACAATGACAGCTAAAAAGCACATGAACATGGAAACTCATTTTAAAAATGCGCCCTCAGGTGTTCACAACGTTTAAGCTGGTTTGGTAGAACGTCGCTGATTTGTTGATGAAAAGTTCCATTTAGAAACCAACTTTTGGACTCAATTAAGTAGAGGACAATACCATTTTGAATAAAGTTCTGCAGGATTAATAGGCCTATTGTGGAAAGAGGGCAGGGCTTTGATATTTCAGAGAAATTATGGGGTACAAGTGACGTCCAAAAAATTGAAAATGATGAAAACAAACTTGGCAATAGTGTCCGAGCAGTTTGGTAGACCGTCAGTGATTGGTTGATGTACATTCTGTAGGGCAGCCTGCTTCCCTAACTAGTTTGGTTCCACATTAGAAATACTATTCAGAATCGTTTGGTCTTGGAACCAGACCTAGCTTCCATACTGTGGTGCAGTCAGTGTGTCGATTCGCATGTTTGTACCAGAAAATCAGGTAAGAAAGTCGGGTCAGAATAATTAAGGGTCAGTATAATTAATAGAACGTGCTCCAAGATTGCAGACGGAAAAAATGTTGCAACCTGACGCCACTTTTTTCTTCATATATCATCTCAATGAAGGTCGTTCATTGCAAAAATGATGATTAGACAGGAATCTGGGACTGAGAAACATTTCCAATTTTGTTAGGAAACACTTAACTTAGAAAATTGTCTTGACTCTCCATAGTCCATATGGACTCTCCATAGTCAACAAGCGGCGGAAGTGGTGTCAGGTTGCATTTTTTCCTTGCAGACTTTTGGGGAAGCTACACAACTTTTTTAAGAATAATAATAAACAGGAGGTGTCTTCAACCACTGAACTACACAAACCCCTAATTCTCTCCATCTGTCCATAGATAGACAGTTACTGAGTTAGACCATGTGTATGAATTCTTTCCCCTCGCCTTTTTTCCGACAAAATATACACGTGTGATCGCGTTACCTTCCTCTCCTTAAGTTTCAGCGCATCACTGAAAGCCAATGTCCAGTTAAAAACAAAAACTAACCTTTGCTTTTGGTGCCAAAAATTGTCCACTTCGTGACGTCTGCTTCCAAACTTTCCGCTTCATCACTCAACAGCAAGCGGCGCTACAGTACAAATGCAGTACAGGATCTTTGCTCAACAGGTGCATTTTTTTTTGCGCAGCGCCCTCCATCGATGAAGAGAGGAAAATACTTGGGATAGAGGGCGCCGTATCAACACAACGGTCTACGCACAGACATTATGTCTGTGGGTCTTCGTCACGCATGCAGCGGACGTATCAACACATGGACGAAGACCGTTATGTTGATACGACGCCCTCTATCACAATTATTTTCCTCTAGAAAGTTTTTCAGGAAAGGAGCTTGGGGGGCCGCGGGAGATTGTTTTTACTTGTTTTTATTATCTTAAAATACATGTAATGTTATTAACATTGATTGTGAATTTCAAGGTGCATCGGTCACGATACCGTATGTGTATTTCAGTGTCTTCCACCGATGGTTACATTTTATGTTGTGTACCCGTAACCTTGTGGAATAAAATAATTAGGATTATTCCGTCGTTAAATATGGCATACCCAGAACTCGAAGAAACATAGCAATTCGAAAAAAATAGCGCTGAAATTTATTTCAAATCGACGCTCACATAACAAGAGGGGGAAATCAAATCAATATACCCCCCCCCCCCCCAAAGAAGTACAGGTAATTTTGACATTTCCATTGTGTGCCAGTGAGTTGGTGATTAAAGCCCCGCGGGTCTAGACACCATTCATATCATCAGAAAGGAGTTTTTGTCTTTAAAACGTTTAAACTCTATGTCTCCTAAATACTTGACTGTTTTCTTCTCATGTTTTGCACAATACTAAGATACAAGACAGAATACAAATGTCACCTTGAAAATTCCTACCTCTATAACAGAATATTATTCTCGAGACTATTGCTGTCACTGGAGCATAAATTTGGAATCCTTTTCGTGCCCAGCTCAGAGTTACACGGTCGCTGCCTGTTTTTAAGACTGAACTTTTTAATTACTTATATTAACATTTTTCATACTTCTTTTATTTTAGCTTCTTTTTTTTGCTCGTTTTTATTGTTTAAGTATTTGTATTCGTTTCTTTAAATAATGTTTAAGTATTTGATCTGATGTGTTCTTGGTTTACTTGATTCTTCGTAATTCTTCAACTTCTTAATTTTTTTAGGGATATATGTTTGTTTTTATACTTTTCTATTTTTTCCACATTTTTTCCGTACTGAAGTCTCTCTGTTTGTCTATTGTGGTTTTTAATTTTTTTTTCTTTTCAGCGCTCGTTTTAGTGACGTTATTTTACCGAGAGAGTTGCTTTTATCTTCCTTAGATTTTGCTTTTTTGTTAATTGCATATCATTTCATTGTTTTTTCCTTCTTTTTCTTTTAAAAACCTTCCATTTTTAAAAAATCATATCATTAGTTTATGTTAAGGCAGGGCCCTAATGAAAACCAGTTTTTACTGTTTGGGTTTACCCTGGACAAAATAATAAAGGAATAAATAAAATCAGTTTGGCAATCGTCCTGCGTACAGCGCCAACGACTCAGCTCTTAAGTTCTTGTACCACAACGGATTTGAAACCAAAAATTGAACAGGAAGAATATGCGCTGAATTCAACAAAACGATTACAAAATTAATGTATCCTTTGCTTTAGGTACTTTTATCTAAAACATAACAAAGCAAAACAAAACAATGCCATCAAAAATTACATTGAGATTGGATGGAATTAACAATAGCCTGTTTCTGTAAAATAAAATCATTACGAAAAATGAAAACAAATTAAAAAAAAGAGCATTATTTTTTTCATTTAGCAGGACAAAATATAATGTTAAAATTGGATGTGTATCAATATTGTTTTAAATCCAATGTTCTACAATTAAAGTTTTATAATTAATGTTTAAAAAAAGCACCAGCGGTCCTAATGAAATTGATATAAACAAATATATCGAAAATGATAATTATGTCATTGTTTTCATATTCCAAATCACAAATGGCCATTTATTTTGGTCTGGGGAAAATTGTGAAAGCTCTTTGTTATATTTCACACAAAGAACCGATATAACTTAAAGTGTTTTGGCGCTGAAATCCCAGGCTTTTGTGCTTGGCGGAGACCCGGGTTGGCTTTTTGTTTTGTTTCAGACCAATCGCATCTGTCCAGCTCGGCCAGGCGCTGCAGACAACAATAATGGGACAGACAGGCCGCGCTACGAACAGCGCGTCCGAGTTATCAACTAATACAATAAAAACATCCTTGAGTTTGATTTGACCAAGAATATTCCCTGTCCAGTAAATTACCCTCCCCCCCCCACTAAAAAAAAAATGTTTTCTGCATCAGCTTTTTACCCAAAACCATAAGAACTGCAAGATGTGACAAAAATGTGATTGAGCAGACGACGCAATGTGAAAGTACACACACAAGGGATGGGGCACCAGGCTTTGGACAAAGGATACGCCTACCTCACAAAAACAAAGGAATGAAAACCAAAACCAAAACAAACAAAAACCCAGCGCTTAAAAAAAACAGGAAAAAGATTGTTTTGTTAACAAAGACAAAGACAATAAGGCTATGTGAGACATGGTAAAATGTAAGATTATATCGAACTGGAATGCAATGCACTTTTCATAAACCCATATCAACCAGAGTGCAGAATTCGAAGTGCAAAAGTTGGCGCCCAAAATCGGATAACAATAGACCGGCGCACGCGTGGTATATTCTCGTCCATTCGCAACAAAAACGGACATTTCGTAGCTCTCAAAATTTAACTTTTGGGGGAAAAAACACGAAAAGACTTACCCGAGCTGAACACTTGTTGAGTCTGTGATGATTTTCTGTTTCCGTCTATTTTTTCGTTGTCCTCAGTCGCTGTGGTTGTTCACCCGGAAGTGAACAAAGAGCCCCGAATACAATGAATCTCGCTCGTCGTTCACAATAAAAAAAAACTCCTCCAGTTGCTATGACCTCAGACGATGCATTTGCAGGCGGAGATTCCGCCTGTAATCCATCGCGTATACGAACAGTTGTATTCGTCAATTTCCTTCGTGAAACTGTATTTTTTGAAGAGTTTGTTTTTCCGATAATATTGGTTTTTCAGCACTGTTGCGAAGCGGATTCCATGACAAAAGAGGAAATATACTGGAAAAACTCCTTCCTTGTTGGTTTTTGCAGATTCCTTGTTTCCTTGAAGCAGCTCAATACAATAAAGGTGTTTAAAGCCTTGTCATTTTCAAGAGTACATATTTCTCTTTAAGATGGCAGACAATGAAAGAAACTGTTTAGGCTTGGCCTGTTTTCCTCATTTTCTTTTGCTGTTAAATAGAACAAATATATTATAATTTGCTTGTTTATTGATGGTGACTTATTTTTCCAGTTGGCGTCGAGAGATAGCTGGAAATGCGTTTAGTATAATAAGAAATAAGTAAGGTATCTTCAGTTTCAAGTCTTTTGTCTTTTACTGTAATATTCAATTGTTTCGTGACAATCTTTGTTTATTATCATTTATTCAAACTGCACGAAATCGTATTTAGACTATGTTCTCAGCTATACGACCTTTCCTCAAAAATATCCCGGAGGTATAGAAGTCTTCATTTTAAAACTCGATCTTGACTTACTTTGAAGTCTGGGTTATCCTTTTGTCAGCACGGGCGGTTAGATTATCATCCATTGTTTACAGGATCAAAATAAGTCTCTACAATGTTATTGTTATGTTGCAGTATCCTGGAACAATAACAATTACCGATTTCCGTTCACTGTCCTTGTTTTGGGAGTTTATTCCAATCTTGACTTACCCTGCAGCTACTAGAGCATGGGCGTTATATTTTCCACTAAATTTTTCCCACAGAATGTCAGATGTAGCTATAGTTTAATCCACGATGAGACAAAAGCATTATGCGCAGACAGAGTGCAGGCGAACACACGTGTGTAAATCCAGAAAGAGCGATGATATGGCACGGATGGGGCCGACTCGCCGAAATTGTTAGTCCAGGATTGCGCCCTGGAATACCCCTCACATCTCCGCCAGTAAGCATCCCATCGAAATAAATCCTTTTGGAGCAGTAAGAGTCCATCTCATACTCGGTTCGCAATTGGTAAAATATTCCTCTTTTGCAGTTCCAAACCCCGAAAAGGTGGGGATTCCCTTCTACTCACGGGCAAGCCCTACTAACCTTGGCACGGAAGGCGTGCGTTGTGTACATGTACATGGTCCTCAGACCCACGTGCTTTTTTGTGTGTATCGGTGGTAATTGTATTTACGTTGTAAAAATAGCTCGTGTAGTGCCGAGGGGGTTTCTCTGTTTTGCTGCCCCCTTCACAAAGAAATCGTCCCAATCTCCCGCCACCATCGACTTCCCCCTTTGTCTACTGTTTCCCAGAGACCGAACGCCCGCTGATTCGTCAATTTTCTTATAAATATTAATAAATAGTAGCTTGTGATTGGACAACGTGGTTGGTTGTCTATAAATATGCAATAGCTTACCCCGGCGATAGTTGATAGTTTATGAATTCGATATTTCTTTATTCTTAGAAAAATCATCTGTTTCTTAGATAAGCGATGAATGAAAGTGCCATTTATTTTGTGTTCCTGATCAGTATGTTTGAGTAATTTGTGCATATACGGCTTTAAATTATCCGAAAAATAATTCAGCTGATCAGTTTTTACCCATTAAACGTTAAAGCTGTTGTGTGACTCGAGTTAAGGGTGCATTACATTAGTGGAGTAAATTTTATACGTGTCACACAAACGAACGGTCCAAACAGCGTACGAAGGGTACGTGGAAATCGTCATAAATTTCCTGTTTCTTTGGAGGGCAAATCACACGTTTTCCTAGTGAGTTTGTTCTACAATATTCTATAACACAAAATATTTTATATTTTTGAATTTGTTGTAAATAAAATTACATGGCTGGTGGTGTGTTTTATGTGGAGACTGGATTAAAAAAAAATGATCTGGAATGTGAGTTGTGCCCAGTTTCCGGACAAACCTGATTTCGTAACAAAACAAGCAGTCGTGTCTCTCATTTGATGTCCGCCTTGTGGTACAACTATAGAATGCAGGGCCACTTTACTCTACATCCGCGCCTCCGTACGGCTGCGTGGAGGCGTGGAACCGCAGTCGACCTACCTCCGAAAATCGATCGTGGAGTCGTGGAGCCGCAGAGAATTGCGCCCTCTATCGGTGCGTGACTCCGCGACTCCGCGCCTCCGCCACCAGTGTATAGTGCCCCGCGTCACGCAGAGAATTGCGCCCTCTATCGGTGCGCGTCTCTGCGACTCCCCGCCTCCGCGCCTCCGCCACCAGTGTATAGTGCCCCGCGTCACGCAGAGAATTGCGCCCTCTATCGGTGCGCATCTCTGCGACTCGACTCCGCGACTCCGCGCCTCCGCCACTAGCACTCCAGTGTATAGTGCCCCGCGATTCTGCGACTCCAAGACTACGCGCCTCCGCCGCTCCAGACAGTGCCCTGTCGCCCTCCTCCCTTCCTAATTGGCCCGCCCATTTAAAGCGATTCTGCGACTCCAAGACTCCGCGCCTCCGCCGCTCCAGACAGTGCCCTGTCGCCCTCCTCCCTTCCTAATTGGCCCGCCCATTTAAAATGGATATGGATGCTTCGTTCTCAAAAAAATTCCGCCGAGAATTGCGCCCTCTATCGGCGCGAGTCTCTGCGACTCCGCGACTCCGCGCCTCCGCCACTAGCCACTCCAGTGCCCCACGTCTCCGCGATTCTGCGACTCCAAGACTCCGCGCCTCTGCCGCTCCAGACAGTGCCCCCAAAACATTTACAAGCACGCCCTCCCTTCCGATCCTTCATGAGAAGCTTAGAAGACAAGTGCAGTGCATTCCTTCGCTGTACTTAGCACTTTTTTGCAGGTTTGCATATCTATTACTCCTATTCCATCCACGCCTCCAGGCAAAATAAAAAACCTTGCTTCGGCGTGGCCCTGCATTCTATAGTTGCTCCCGGCTTGTCCGGAATAAATCCTTATCTTTCATGTCTTTTACTTTTAGGACACCTCTATTTTTTACGAGTTCTGTTCAAAACTGACTTTTGCAGAACTAGCCGCCCTAGTCCGAGTAATTTGGACCCAACTAGTACATTCGGACATGGTCTGGCGATAGTAGGGTCCAAGCTAAACTGCATCAAGCGGTCGGCACAATTTTGTCATTGACCCAAAAACCCAGCATTGCCCAACAAAATATCAGATTTCACCCTCAAAACAGCCACCAAATATCTAAATTCGCCACCTAAGGTACAAGTAGAGATCGATGATTAAGATCGAGGTACTATAAAGTTTACTTACGATCCAGATGAAAAGTGAAATTTCCCGTTCAATTCCGAGAGCTCCCCTCGAGATCGTGTACACGTTAAATTTATGACTCGTGTTTGAAAACGCGATGTGGTCGTGCCCAGTGTTCCTTCAATGGTCCCTGTATCCCGAGTGCGATTCCATTACCGAGTGTGATACATTGATTATGATAATGAGTAGACTGGATCTCGTTTGTAAACACAAGTGCATTTCGAACGATGATATGGATTCGAGAACTAGGGCAGCTTTCATGAGCGGAAACCTGTTTAAGCTAGTTCCCGACTCCCTATCATCGTTCGAAATGCACATGTGTCTTATGTCCGCCCATCCCAAGCACAGTGCCAATAAATGGGATGGCGCCATCATTTTCCTAAACTTTAAAATAAGCCAACCCTGTCCGGCAACCCCAGCCCCATCAACCCGGCATGAACCGACCAAGCCAAGCAGGCTACCCCAAACCCACCTCCCGCGGCTGGACATGGCAACAAAATCCCCACGGCAAAACAAAAAACTTGTCGTCTCTCCCTACCTCATAGCGACTGCCAAATGATCCACCCTCTCTCTCTCTCCCCTCTCTCTCAGCTTGGAAAACCCCAGCATAAAACCCCAGCATTAAACCCCTGGGCCAAACCCAGTTGTATCCCGTCAAGCAACCCCAACCCAATGATCAAACCCGAACACAACCAAAAATCCCTGGTAGGGCCTACTATGAATATTCCCCAGTCCGTACTAGTACTATCCCCCTTAAAATGCGAGTCAGCTTGTCTTAACGGTCGAGTTGTCTCAACGGTCGAGTTGTCTCAAGGGTCCAGCCGTCCGGAGTCAATTGTCTCAACGGTTTGAGTTGTCTGACCCCCTTTCCGACTCGTGACTCATGTATTGCAATGTAAGATGTATAAAAATACACTGCATATTGAAATGTCAGTATTAGCACAAACTTCCCCCCTCATTGTATTGCATCATTGCATTTGAAGGTTTAGAAAGCCTGTGATTTAATCATATGTCACGGGCGGGCTTCTTTCCTTTAACAAAAATGTAAATTATGAAAAGGAGAAGGAATCCTGTGGTGTGGTATGTGATAAACAGTTTCAGCTTTCCGTTATTTTATTTTTCTTTTATATTCTAATTTTGATTTTTCCAGGCAGAATGATCACTGACGTGCAGCTGGCCATATTTGCCAACATTCTGGGTGTATCCCTATTCTTGCTGGTGGTCCTTTTCCATTTTGTGACAGTCAACAATCCCAAATCAAAGCAAGAATGAGGCAGCTCAACCAGAAATGTTACTCAGAAATAAAAGGTGTGTACAGTCAATCCTGCAAAATACTCCAACTGCCTCCATGTAAAAATGCATACAGCCTCAATCCTGCAAAATCCTCTATTATTTCTTGAATGTTGTCCATTGGAGGGGTGACCACTGCCTCAATCCTGCAAAATTCTCCAGCAATCACTGTCAATATGTTGAGGCAGAGCCTTTGACATCCTAGAGCAGTGCGGAGGATTTCAAGTATAATCTAGGCCTAAACTTATGCACGGCTGAGCATAAACAACACAAGGTCTGGCCTAAGACTTTGACACAGTGCAATATCCTCCAAAATGCAGCCTCACATTTTTGCCATGTAGCCTCAATCCTGCAAAATCATCCATTTTGCAAAGAGGATTGTGGAGGATTTGGGAAGGTTAGGGTTAAGAGGTATAATAGCCTTCGTATAAATTCTTAAATGACCTTGTCAAGAATGTGGGTTTTTTTTCGGGGAAAACAAGCAAATTTAAAGTTTTAGATTACAATTGTGAAACAGGTGTAAGCAGTGAAACATTTTATTACGACACAAACATGCAGTGAGATTGTTCAAGAACAGCATTCATAGAGCTTTTTAAAGCTTGTGGACAATAAGTATCTGTAAGCACATGCACACATATATACATGTGTACATGAAGCAATAATTCAGTGGTCACTGTTCACTTGTTCAGTCAATCTTCTTTTTACCCACAGATCAAGAGCCCTAATCACCAAGCAACCATCCTCTGTCAGTGCCAGCGTTGTTCTGCTTATGCACCCTTAAAAGTCCAACTCATTTTGGACTTTGAAGTCAACAAAATGGGACAAGGTCGGCAAGAGACAACTACTACCTGTGAAGTTTGCTAACTAATCAACAAATCAACAGCCCTCATCAGCGCGAATCAACAATGTCACCTAGCAGCAGCTAAAACACCTGTTTGAATTGAAATGCCAGTCAACATGGCCTTGAGAGATCCCTGTCAGTTATCAGCAACTTTTAGGCTAAGCGTAGCTCCAAATATTACAAGTTGCCATCAACACCAACCAATAATACCTCTCTCTCTGAATTAGTGACTCATCCTGCTGACGCTCCACAAAATAGCAATCATGGATAGACCTCACGGAAGAACAGTGAAACGCTGCTATAAGGAACACCGCTATAACGAACATTTGGCTATAACGAACATCCACTTAAGCTCCCAAAATAGTAAATTCTATTATGATTCACATTCACTATAACGAACGACCACTGTTAGGAACATTTTGTTTATAGACACCATCGTTTTCATTAAAGTGGCATTCTAATGTAGTAGCATTTGATGGATACATCAACTAAACACATCAACAGCATTTTATTTTTATTTGCCAAATATTAGAGAGGGCCTAATTTCATGGCGCTGCTAAGCATACAATTTTCTGCTAACAGAGCCTCCATCTATTTCAAGGAGCAGTGAGAACAGCAAAAGCACGCTTAACCCAGAGGAAAAAGTTGCTTAAATCAGTGACGTAACAATACAATTCTACATGCCCCTCAACCGATCCACCCCATAAAATAGTGCTTAATGATAGCACAATTTTCTGCTATAGTAAGCTCAACTTTTCTGCTAACTGTTAAGCAATGCCATGACATTGAGCCCAGGCTTCAACTGTTTGTGAAATTCTTGGAAACAAAATATGGAAGGTTTCTGTCAATTTGAAGTGATCAGATTGTTTGTAATTCAGGCAATTATTCATATTTATGTACTATATGAATTTTAAACCTGTTCATCAGCCAATGTTGCAATCTATTCAGTCCCGCAAATCTTCATTCATAATGATGAGTCTTAAATATTACCTTTTCCCTATAAAAACACAATACAGATCTACTAAAAACTATCAAAATTTGGACCCTGAGTTAATGTTATTTCAATTTTTGAAAATAATGCATATGTAATTACATGAAGCATTTGTTGTCCGTGCATTGCTGTAATTATTCTGAATAAAACCTTTAATTTTCAAGAAAGCTTTTCACATGTCAGACTTGTCAGTGCAATTGTGTTGTGCCTGAAAAACATCTTGAAAAAAATCAATAAAGCTATTCATGATAAAATGAATATAATAAAGGGGGGGTACCAAATTTGTAGCCAGAGACTTTTAAAAATCTAGAATTCCATTTTGGGAACATTTGAGGAAAAAATGTTTCAATTTGGGGGCTTTTACTATTGCTCAGTACTTTTTCAGTGGTTAGAGAAACAAAAAAAATGCTGTAATTTTCTGAAATATATGGATTTGGCCAGGGGTCAGTATTGTTTTATAGCATATATTGTGTCACTGACCTGTTAAAAGTTTTGTGTTAATAGATGCAAGAAAAAAATCAAGGAAAATGCAGTTCTTGTAGTCTGGTTCCCAGACCCTGCTTCAGACTTAACAGAACAATTATAATTAACATTGGGTAATTATCAGGTCTAGGAAACCAGCCTTGCTGGCTTGTACACGCGTTCATGGATGAGAAACCAAATTGCAAACAACATGTGGACTATATAAATTTGGTTAAGTGGGTCAAGTTGAAAAATAGTCAGTTTTTTTTCCAACGATAGTCGGCCGACAATCGTTTGCAATTGATACAAAAATGTCACTTTTCTTGGAAATGAAGGCTCATCTGTCAGGTGCCATTATTTAACAAGATGCTTGTTATTCACTTACAGTCAAGTAAAATATTTCAGAATTATTTGGTACTTTTGTTTTTCGATGTTTGCAAAATGTTGTATCATTACCATTGATCTCCGTCTTACTAATGGAGATCAATGATTTTTACCGACCTTTAATTTGATATTAGGCTGCATCCGAATCAGTTGTCTAGAGCTAGGTCTAGGTCTGCGCCCATTGAAAATACGCGGGGACGCGCTGACAATAGACGTAGCCGTAGCTCTGGAAGCCCGTTTCGGACACGGCCTAATTTTGGTGTGGCATGGTGTGCTGATTTACACAGCGCCCTCATTTGTTATCTTTATCGATCTATCGAGCGATTATTAACAAAATGGCCGCCCCACCGAAACCTTGGGAGAGAGGGGCAGGCCAGCACAATCAAGGCTCGTTTTCGTCTGTTGGCGACTTTGGGTGAGATTTAAGACCAGCATTAATCACGTTATGAATATCTGTTTAATAATAAAGCAAAGTACTGACAACATGACTGAACCATGGACGTCATGAACGTTGCAACGTTGTTTTTCATATGCCTATTTTTGTAAATTTTATCATCATTGCAAAAATGAAGATACACATTTTGGACTGAGAAATATTTCCAATTTTGGGTGATCGTGTGACCGTGTAGTCATGAGTGTAAGGCCCCTGTTTTGTCATGTTTGTTTCGATCAAAATAGAATCAAGATTTGTTTTATTAAGATAGTGGATATTTTGCCGGAGGTAATGACGGCAAACTAACGTTTACTAAAGGTTTGCCGGCGGCAATCCATATCAACAGAGGGCGCTGTACTCTTTAAGATATGGCTGAATTATAAGATGTATTAAATTCCCAACAAAAGTTGTGTAGCACGTTTGGTGTAGTGGTTAAGCAAAAGCTCTACTGAGCGGGATGACTCGGGTTCGATCCCGATCCCCGCCACATTTTTAAGGTTTTTTTTTCCCCATCCCCAAATAAATAAGAATATTCATCTTTCTTTTTTTTAACATGTCTCAAACATTTTATTGCAGAGTATTACATTTTCTTTTTCAGATTTGTGGCTCTGGAGGATTTTTTTTAAAAGGGAAATAAAGTCCGAAATTATAAAATGGTCTGATTCCCATCTTGTGAATACGAAGTTACAACGATAATGTTGGCATGGAGCCAGACTAAAATTTGTCACCGGAAAATGTCTAAGTACAAAAAACAGTAACTGCGCATGTTCATTTCATATCGTCAAGCTAACGTTTACTAAAGGTTTGGTCTCTCCGGCTAGATATCCACTGCCTTTATAACAGTGACATTGTCATTGCCATGATTGTCAACCTATTAAAAGTAAATGCTTGTTCATATTGTAACTTGTACAATGTAGGTAGGCCTCAGGCGTAGTTCAATATTAAAAGTCGTGACATCACTCAGATAGGTCCAAAAAGATTTGTTTAAAAATGGACAGTTATGGTCCATGATCACAACATTAACATACATCACTCATTCTAGATTGAGCGCACTGATAATTTGTATACCCTCCTATGATTCCTTACAGGCCGACACTAGTCAGTCAGCATTCATCAACATCTGGTCTACCGATACCTGGATCATCTAGTGCAGGGCCTGCTGTTTCCAGAGCCCCACCGCCGCTACCCACTCGCCCATCTCAGCAAGGTTCGGCATTCAGCTCTCCTGTCAATCGATATGGTGGTCTTGGATATGGTAACAGTTATGGCAGTGGTTATGGTGGCTTTGGCAATAGCATGGGGGGCTATGGAGGGATGTACGGAGGCAGTGGGTTGTATGGAGGGGGTTCTTATGGAGGTGGGATGTTTGGTGGAGGGGGCCACTTTGGACAGGGCCAATTTGGTCGTGGTGGGGATCCGGCTGGTTACAACCAGTTTCTCCGCCAGGCAGAAGAGAATAGTCGTCCAGCCTTCCAGTCAATTGAGAGTATTGTCCAAGCCTTTGGTTCCATCAGTATGATGATGGAGTCGACTTTGCAGACTGTCTACAACAGCTTTAGAGCAGTCATTGGCGTGGCTGACCACTTCTCACGTCTCAAAGTCCACCTGGCTCACATCTTTACGGCCTTGGCACTCTTCCGAACACTGCGCTACATCTATCGTCGTCTGCTGGCTTTTTTAGGGTTAAGAAGCCGGGAGTTTGCTGAGGAGTTGTGGGAAAAGGCAGAAGGTACAACAGAAGAGCTCGTCGGGAAAATGGAGAAACTCAATGGAAAGAAGAAGAAGGGTGCGCCATCATGGCCCATCTTCATGTTCTTTGCTGTGGTGGTCGGTGGACCCTATATTATTTGGAAGCTGTTGTGTTCTACTGAGGATGACACACAAGGTACGCAAGTACGAAAGAAAAAATATGTTGAAAAAAAAGTGTAAGATTGAAGACAAGTGATTTAAAGTACATTCCTACTCTTTTTAAATGATAGACCATTTAACAGTGTACTAGTTGCCTGTAAAGAAAAATGTATAGAAGGGTTGATATTAGTCCAAGTATCACCCTTTGCTCAATAGATCTCTCCATAATCTGCGTCTGATGTGAGCAATGCAAAGTTTATGTGACCCTGCGCGACGGCCAATCAGCTGGAGTCAACTTTAGAAATTGTGACGTCATTTCAATTAGAAATGAGTGTGGACTAAGCTGCTAATTGGTCAATTAAGCTTGCATGTTATTGTATTAAATACAACAACGGGTTCCCAAAGACTGGATAGATGGCGCCCACTGAATGGCCAGAATTTTGAGGTCAAGATGCAGTTTTGTTTTGCATAATTAATCACCAAATCTGCTCACATATCATAGACCCAAGGGGAAATTCCATAGAGTATTATCTTTAAGCGAACTTGAATCTTCGCTGCTGATTGGTCGATCCTGGCAACAAACCTTGCTACGTTATCCCATGTAGCACAGTCCATACCACACTCTGCGTATTGCAATATTCTAAGATGCCTGCGTCATACCTGCTGCACGCACGTGTAATAAGAAAACCACAATATAGCACACCAATTAACTCTACATCAAGTTTGCTTGAAGATAAATTTGTTATCCCACTTGAGATTGTGTAAAATGAAAAATGTAATGCGTTGCATCCCACATCTCGGTTTACAGTCTCGTGGCATGTGGGACACAGACGCACTGCATTATTCCATGTTACACTAGTGCAAATGGGATGACTAATAATACAATGTACATGTGTACAAATAGGAGGTTGTTTCACTGCCAGCCTGTTTTCCTGTTTTTATTAAGTTGTGAGACTGTCAAAGGGTAACTTTAAAGGAAAATGTCCATCCTTAGCCTAAAGATACTGTTATATAATAACAATTGTTATTTTTTTTATGTTGAAGTTTATTGTCGAGCTTTGATTTTGGTTACTAGATCAACCAGCATGGGCTAGTGGTGAGGAAGATCATGTTGTGGCGAGGGCAGAGTTTGATTTTGAGGCTGAAGGAAGCAATGAGCTGTCATTCAAAGCTGGCAGCATGATTAACCTTGCTCCCAAAGGTAACATTTGAATAAGCATTTAAAATTGTGTATGATTACCACGTACATGTATCCCTCATAATATGATGAAATTGTGGAGGCCCAGGTTCATAGAGGGTAAAATAATACACAAACTTTGCTGAGACAAAACGAACTTGCCTAATCAATTTTGAGGCATCAAAAGCACAGTATCAACTTCTTTCACAATCTTAGACTGCTGACTTGAATTGAATTTCATTTTAAATATCTTCACTCAACTGAATTTCTTTTATGCATACCCCATTCTTTTGTTTAATTGGCAGAGATGCAGCCTAAGGTTAGAGGATGGGTCTTGGCAAGTGTGGATGGTCAGTCTACAGGCCTGGTTCCTGCAAACTACATCAAGATTCTAGGCAAGAGACGTGGTCAGAAAAGCCTTGCAGGACTAGAGGTACAGCCTGGGGAGTCCACTCAGCAACCAGAGACAATCCCAGAAAAACCCGTAGTTGTCTCCAGTACCGGCCAACCGGGGAGTACTGGCCAACCAGCACTACCCACCACTCAAAGCGAATTGAATCTGGCAGCTTTCGACAAGGCCTTCACAGAAGCACCTAGCAGCAGCCAGGCAGCAGAGGGCGCTGTTCAGAGCAGCATGGACACTGAGTGGTCTGCATGGGAGAGCAATCAAATAGGGGACACTACAGACAAAACAACTGAAGAGGTGGACTCTCTTGAAAATACAAGTACATGAAACTAGCTTATCATAATTGTAATGCAACAGGTAACCCTTGTATCTGATTGTTTTTTTTCACTAGTACCATCCATTTATTAGGCATTCATAAATACCTAAGACAAGTTACCCATTACTATTGGTGGAGAGCCTGTCACATGGCTGGTCTTAAACAATTTGGACTCCTATGAATCTGGCCCCTTTTTCTGGTCGAACGTTCACAATCCTCACTAGAGCATGCGTAATACTACCAATGAGTAAGTATTTCATTGTCCTAAATTCACACCACTGCGGCACCGCTGCGTTCAGTGCCACATCACACAGTAGCCTACGCACCACGCTTGCACCAATCTCCTCAGAGTTGTTTACAACTTCTCACAAGAGGCACATACATGTACCATACCATAGCTAGAGGGGTGTTTAAAAAAACATGAAGTAAACTTGTCGAACAAAATCATTAGAAATTGATAATTTTTTACTTGTTTGATTGCAGAGGTATTTAAGAACGGGAATAAATATGTGCTTGGCCAGTATTAAACAACTGATATTGCTATATTAAACAGCCTCATCTTTGGCTTGGGTCATTATCAGCGTCCAGAGTAGACTCCAAACCGGTCTTAAACATAGTGTTTAAAACCAGCCAAGCACACATTTATTCCCTTAGTAATTATTTCCAATTAGCCTTTGCAAGAAAAGATGAGGTAGACATGTACACTTCGTACCAGGCAATGATATGTACATGTATATCATTTTCTTATCTCATAACATATTATTTTGTGTTTTTATCTCACGCATTTACAATGTTGCATTTGACTTTATGACAAGTCAGTCACAAGTCAAAAAGTCCAAATTATTTCACAAGCTATTCAGATAAACTTGGAACAAAGGCACATCTTTATTTCTTGTGACTTGTTAAATGACTTGTTAAGCGACTCGTGACTGACTCGTGATGAACTCCACAACCTTGTTAATTTGGCAGTTTTTGGGATTGGCATCTTTGAATTACTGCATGTACATTATTATGATATAAATTATATTAAAAAAAACAATTGGTTATCCCTATTTCAGTGATTGTACAGGTTTTTAGTTTTGTTAAAAAATAATTGGCGTACATTCCTTTCATGCATTATTTTTGTGATGTCCTACCAATGATAAATCTTTTTTGTGCCCCTGTGTTGGAGGAGATGCGTTTCGAAATGTTCTCTATAACTTTAGTAGTTAACTGTAGCATAAATACACACTAGTATATTGGAGCTAAAACTTATTGAATCCTATAAGAAAACCTTTCTTTTCTGGTTGAGAGTATTGTACTGATTTTTTAAAGAACAGATGATTTTATTAATAAATGCAAACATATTTTGTAAACTCTATGAAATTGTATATTACCGCATAAAAAAATACACCATAGGTAGATGCAAGGCAAATTGTTGTTTATTGTTTTGTCAATACTGAACTGAGACTCTACCCGACTCTTAGTGGACACTCTTAGGAACTATAGGTTTTGGGTGCCAAGGCCCAAAAGGAAAATATTTCTGCTTCCGATTACATGGCATTCGAAAATAGGGTAGGTAGGTGGGGAATTCTTTTTTATGTATTCTTTTTATGTACGATCATATGGAGGCATCTGCGTGTATTTAAAGGTAAAAGATAGTAATTGATGGTTTTGGGTGTGTTTTTTTTGTTCATTTTCCCCCCAAAAAACTAGGGGTAGGGGCTGTCAGAATTGGGTAGGTAGGGAAACCGGAAGCAGAACAATTTTCTTCTTTTTTGGGGGGGGGGGGGGGTCCAAGGAGGCCATGTTGAGTGAACCAAAGCACTTATTATTGAGCAAACCAAGGCACTTTACTGATGCAGTTATTTGGATATCGACTACAAATAGATGTGAATACAAGATTTCTCACGTTTTAGTACTTACTGCTTTCATTCAGAATTACTCTTTCAACCTTTACCAGTCAGCATTTAAGACAATTGAAAGTGATATTATTAGTTTTTAGTTTTCAAGATAACGTGTCGAGAGTCACTCCAACTTGAACGTGCCGCCTCGCCTACGTAGGCTACGTAGCTAGCCCTACGTGACGTGACGATGTTGGAAATGCTTATCTTTCTAAGATGTAATGAGCATGTTTTAGTTTAAATCTTAATTAAGCCAGAACGCAATTTTCATACTTGTGACCTGGCACGGCATTCTGAGTACAAGCAGCGACAATTTTCCCAGCAACATTTTTTTTTTTAAAGGATCGGAATTTGGGATTTTAATATTTTAAGTTGTTTACACTTGAAAAGCCCTTTAAATCCTGAAGTTCACTTTAAAAAAAAACATTGAGGGCGAAACCTTTTATGAATTTGGTAAAAGTGTATACTACACATTACATTTGACCTTTGCTTTCAATTAAAAGGGGTCAAACAATAAACTTTAACCTAGTTCTCAGCCACGATGATGTGTATTTGAGATTCTCAAATGGACTTGGACTCGGACACCAAGGACTCGGACTCGGATACCTCGGACTCGGATGGGGTGGACTCGACTACAGCACTGGCCGTCACAGTCCAAACAGAACATTTGCCTTACTTTTGCAAATTAACGATAGTCCTTGTGGACACGCTCACTCAAAAATTAAATCAATTGTGGCAAGATGATTGGTCATGAAAGAGAGACCACAAAATGGACAGAATGTTGAGACAAAATATTGTTTTTCTCTCCGTCAATAGTGTTTTGTGTCAACACGCCGAAAAAAATTGCGAATCTGCAGGTACAGTCCAAACAGAACATTTGCCTTACTTTTGCACAGAAACAACATAGTCCTTATTGACACGCTCACTCAATAAATAAATCACGCATTGAATTAAAATTTGGGCAGATAATTGGTCATGAAAAATCTACAAAAAACAAAGAATATTGAGACAAAATATTTTTTTTGTGTCCATCAATAGTGTTTTGTGTCAACATGGAGGAAAAAACCTTGCGAATCTGCATTCACAGTCCAACATTTGCCTTACTTTTGCACAGAAACGATAGTCCTGGAGGACACGCTTACTCAAAAATTAAATCATGCATTAAATTGAATTGTGGCCTGACGATTGGTCGTCAGTGGCGTATCCGGGACGGGTTACCTTGCCCACCCCCCCCCCCCCCCGGCGGATTTTTATGACAAACATTTTTTTCAGCGATTATTTCAATAAATGGTTAGATAGTTCTGACATTAATCCCAAAAAAGAGAACCTGCTCATTACAATGCGCCGTGAAAATGGTCATATAATTTGCAGTATTAATAATAATGGTCAGTTTTGAAGAGCGCCCCCATTTCAAAGATGGGTACCAGCACCCCCCCTCCCCCCCCCCCGCTCATTTTACGGAGGCCAAGTGTCCGCATAAAAACATACGGCGCGGATGTGCGGTTGCCCCCCCCCCCCCCCACATCAAAAGCTGGATACGATACTGCAAGAAAATACAACAAATATCCAAACTTAACTAGGGACTACGGAAGACAATTTAGAACCCCAATCGCTAGGGATTAAGGTGTAGCCTGTAAACGAATAAATTAATTAGTTTTAACGTCCAGCTTTTTCAAACAAACCAATTATCAGCAGTATTGTGTTTCTTTTTTAATTAAAATGAACTATTTTTTGAATAATTGTAGTTCTGCCAATTTAATTGTATAACATGATACACATATTAAATTCATATCAATAAATAACTATACCTTATTCCAACATCCACCAAGCGTTGGTCATTCCCGGTATTTTACTTGTACATTAATTTAGGTATACCTGCCGTCTACATGCACCTACATGTGCAAGGGATGCATGAGGGCGTAGCCTGTGACAAGGGATCATGTGCATTAATTCATCTGCAAGGCTTTTTTATACCCAGTCTATGCTTGGGCGTGCAAGGCAAAAGTTAAAGAATGCTTCTACTGGGAATGGGATCAGCCGTCAATTTCTTTTGTAATGAGCAACATTGAAACCTCAAACCCACTAAGCAACTTAAATTGACAAGAACCGTGGAATAATTTTAACCCCGACAAAAAATTGATTGCGAATTGAAGTCACATTGAGTTTAAAATAAGTAAAACACCATTTATAGCGACAATATTTCGAAAATAATAAATTGTATTGATATGAAAATTTGACGATAATTAGTCGTGATGTACTGACATAAAAAAGACGGAGACGTGGGAAGAAAAAATAAAAGACAATAAAACAACAGTGTTTGGACGCTCTGTACGTAGCTTTTGCTACTGTCGATTTCTGCCAAAAGAGGGCGTCCTACACAAACACTGGTCAGCACCTTTAAGACTTTTGTATATGCAGATGACAATCTGCCTATAAAACGAACAATAAACCTTTTTTTTTTTTAGACAAAATGACTGTAGAATAACACATCGCATTTAATGAAAATTGCGCCCGATTATTGCCCATGATATTTTACACAAGTTTGGAAATTGATGAGAGCCATTCCGGAATAAATTTAATATGATTTATGAAAATCATGATAAATTCATAACGAAAATAAGTCACTTTTTATTGAACAAAAATAGGACACTCTTTCTGGAGACAATAACTGCAGAATAACTCATCGCATTTTTGACACAGAAAGTAAGAAACTTGACAGGAATAGAAGAAGAATAAATAATGTAATGTCATTTAAAGAAAATTTAGTGTTTTAATCGCAAAAACAATTGTTTGCGAATTTAAGTCACGTTCAATTGAATGAAAGTAATACGCTATTTATGGAGAAAATTACTCCAGAATAATAGATATTGATATGATGGAAAATATCGTTCGATAATAAGTCGTCACGTTATGACCCCAAAAAATACCTAGACGGAAACCTTGGATGAAAAAAATACACGACAATAAAGCAAAAAAGTGTCGACGCTACATACATCCTAATTGCTTCCATCAATTTCTTCCAAAAGAGAAAGACTTCAGTCAATGTGGGTCACGATGTGCCCATTTGACAAAAATACGACACTCTTTTTGGAGATAAAACTGCAGAATAACACATCGCACATGATTAAAATTGCGTCGCATTATTTACCATGATTTTTGACGCAACATGATTGAAAATTGAAGAGAACCTTGGGAAAATATTATTTAATAATATGATGATTGAAAGAAAGCAGTATTATTATCGTGAAAAAAATCTTTTTGAATTGGAATCACTTTTGAATGAAATGTTGTTAAATATTTAGTCGCAATGTAAAGATGTACAAAGAAAATCGACGGAAATCTTGAACGTAAAAGTAACCACTTTTTGTTGATGGTACCGACATTTTAATGAAAATGCGTTGAATTGAATTGAATTTTCGTCCAATAATTGTTCATGATATATAACAAAACGGTTTTGAAAAAAGAAAGACATGACGGGAACCGTAAGCCAAAATAAATGCCACAATAGAAACTACAGCGTGTAAGCACACTCCGCATTTTTTGCTGTCATCGATTTCTTCCAACAGAGGGTGCACTACAAAGTGTAAAAAAGGTCCAACTTTATAATCCATAATAACTTTGTTGTCTTCCAATGGAGTTAAACTAAAATTTTAGATGATGTACACGAGGAATAATTTTTTTGGGCGATTTTCTTCATTTTTGTATATATGAGAAGGTAAGATTTAAACGCCATCCAAAACAATACTCACTTTCAGAATTTGCTACAGTTGACTTGGCGTCCCCAAATGTCCATGCAGCGCTGGAAACGGAAGCCCGTGCTGGCTTAAAGCTTCTGAAGGAATGCAGAATCACCACTGGTGTCGTTGCAAATGATCTAGGACAATCCAGGAGGTGTGCAAAATAGTGTATTAATCGCGAAAATGCCGATTGGAATGAAAGTAACTTTTTAATTGGAGACAATAAATGAAGAAAACACATTCCAATATTTGATCATGAGTTTATAACAAAAAGATTGTAACAAATTTTCGGAAACCGTGGCAAACCAAAAAAAATTGCGACAAAAACTAGACTATGATACCACCATCAAATATAATCGTGAATGCGGACCCTGACATGGCCAATTAAGGTCATAACCATTGAGCTCGAAATAGAAGAAAAACAATTCCCAGTCCTAATCACAAAATGTTAAATTTTTTCTATGTCACCGAGTTTAATGACAAACAAAAGAGTCCCAAATTACAAGAAGGAACTTACGGTCTGTACAACAGGTTCGCCCTTAAGCAAAGGAAGTTGTAGTCAACACGACGAGTGTTGCATTGCAATAGCTGTGAACTGAAGGCATCCGCCGCTGCTGTTGCTGTTGTCAAGCGGATGACTGCTTCGAAAAATGGAGCGTATTTCTATGGATCCTAAACACAAAGCACCCACTAGAGCATCACAATGCAAATTCCTTCCATTCACTGACCATGGCTATAACTAACCTTAGACGTTTTGAAGTCTGGAAAGTATTTTCTCGACTATGACCCCCTTAAAGCGTTTAGTTTTTTTTTTTGTTAGAATGCCAAAAATAATATCAAGGGTAATTTATTCTGTGTTGTTCCATTAAATATTTTTGGCGGAACTGCTTTAACTTTTAAAAATGTTCCCAAGGGGTAATAGTTTGGTTGAAATACAGTACTTATTTCGGATTGCGTTACGAGGACAGTCACTCTTCCAAGCCCAATCTTCCCTGATAATTTATTTATTCTCCCCAACATAACT